AAATACACACACATACATATATATATATAAGAAATATATGTAATATATATTTATATATAATATAAATCATATATATATATATATATATATATATATATATATACACAGTTGTGCACATAAGTTTACACTCCCCTTGCAGAATATGCTAAATGTTCATAATTTTAACAAAATAAGAGGATCCTCCCTCCCTTCTGCCTCTTGCTCTCTTGCCATCAGCTTGCGAAAAACATGGAACTCCTCTGCAGTTGCCATGGCGACCTGCGTCAGGTAGGTTTCCTTAGAGACGCAGAGGATGTCTTTGAGCGGGGGGTTAAGGATGAGAGTTTGGCCCTTTTTGTCTGGCGTCTGGTACAGTCCCCTCCGTTCCAGAAAACAGTGACGGCACCGGAGCTCAGAGAGAGACAACCTGAACAGCTTTGCCTTTACCATCTCTGGCTGCCGCACACCCATACGGAAATATGCATACTGCGGGGAGAAAACAAGCTGTGCGTCAGTTTGAAACTACTGTAAAACACTAACTGCCCTTTAACTTGAAACTTCAGTGATCCAAAATGGCTCACACAACAGTGAAACGTCATTTACACAGACAGTTTACCCCAAAATTTTGTATTGTCATCAGAGCCAGGAAAACTTTTAGTGAAAAATAGCAGCCCTACCTGAAATTTGTACTCCAGCTTGGCCAAATCCTCCTCCAAAACCTCAGGTGAGTCTCTGAGGATGTCTGTGACCTGATGGATGGTGAAGAGGCATTTCTCTCTGAGCAGTCGGGACACCATGTTTACCCTCTTGACTGACAGAAGCATGACTTCGGGGTAGCGACTGATCATCCTCTGCAGACTACCTGTGGACAGATTTCGGACAACTCTCCATCAGTGGCTTTCAAACTGGTGTCTATGGACACCCAGCGGAGCACTAGAGGGTCCATGGAAAATTTCAGAGAAAGAAAAATTACAAAATGTACAGTGTGGGGGAAAAAGAACAATAAATAAATCTGCATATAATTTTGAGAGAAAAAATATTTTTATTAGGGCTGTCAAATTGATAAACCGTGAGTAATCGCATTCAAAATAAAAGTTTGTATTTAAATGATGTGTGTGTGTACTGTGTATATATATGTATATATAAATACACACACATATTTCTTTAACAAATCTAACTGAAACCAAACTTTTGAACAGCATTGTGTAATAAATATTATTCACTGTATGTCTCATGGTGTGTAATATACAGTTGTGCACATAAGTTTACATACCCCTTGCAAAATATGCAAAATGTTCATAATTTTAACAAAATAAGAGGGATCATGAAAATTGCATGTTATTTTTTATTTAGTACTGTCTTGAATAAGCTATTTCACATAATGTTTATATATACTCCACAAGACAAAATAATAACTGAATATGTAAAAACGACCCCGTTCAAAAGTTTACATACCCTTAAATCTTAATACCGTGTGTCATTTCTTATAGTTGTTCATGAGTCCCTTGTTTATCCTGAACAGTTAAACTGCCTAAACAAAGATGGATTTCAAAATCATACAGTCACTGTTGGGAAGGGTTCAGATATGCAGAAGATGCTGGAAAACCAAAGAATGTGCAGGAGCTGAAGGATTTTTCAGAAGAACAACAGGCAGTTTAAACTGTTCAGGACAAACAAGGGACTCATGAACAACTATCTCAAAACATAAAAACAGTCATGGATCATCCAGGAAATGACACACAGCATTAAGATTTAAAGGGATAGTTCACCCGAAAATGAAATTTTTTTCTTCGGAACACAAAATAAGATATTTTTGATGTTTATTTTCCGTGTAAACAACGCGTGCTAATGCATGTCCGTGTTTTAAGAAATATTTACATGTATATATATATATAAATATACAGTTGTGCACAAAAGTTTACATACCCCTTGCAGAATATGCAAACTGTTCATAATCCGTTTAAGGGTATGTAAACTTCTGAACGGGGTCATTTTTACAAATTCAGTTATTATTTTGTCTTGTGGAGTATATATAAACATCTGTTATGTGAAATAGCTTATTCAAGATGGTACTGAATAAAAAATAACATGCGATTTTCATGATCCCTCTTATTTTGTTAAAATGATGAACAGTTTGCATATTCTGCAAGGGGTATGTAAACTTTTGTGCACAACTGTCTATTTATATATATACATGTAAATATTTCTTAAATATATACATGTTTGTGTGTGTATTTATATATATATCTTCTATATATTATCTTCTCCCCTTTCTTGCAATGTACATATTTTCAAAAATTAGGTTTTCCCTTGATTATAGCTTGTTGCATTATTTTCTGTAAAGCTGCTTTGTAACAATATTTATTGTAAAATGTGCTACACATATGCATTCTAATATGCTGATTTGCTGCTCAAGAAACATTCCTTGGTTGTGCTGGTTAATATTGTTGTGGAAACCATGAATGATACACTTCTTTTTTTCAGGATTGCTTGATGAATAGAAAATTCAAAAGAATAGTATTTATTTGAAATAAACTTTTGTAACAGTTTAGCTGAATATAAGTATTAATGTCTCTAAAAAAAATTAATAAATCTTACTGACCTCAAACTTTGGAACAGCAGTGTAATTTACTAAAAGACAAGATGCATCACCTTCTACCAGTCCCATCTTCCTCAGATGATCGATGTGCTGCTGTAAGTCTGCACCTTTAAGTGAATATACTTCTGGACACTTCTGCATTATTTTCAGGATACTGGAGGGATTTAAGCCCAGGAGCAACAGCGCTGTCAGAACAGATGGAACATGTTTCCCGCGGCTCTTCATAGCACCTTCATGCATCTCCTTGGCTTGAGATTCTGAGAAGCCCATCTCGAGCAAAGAGCACAGGGTGAGCTGATTCCCAGGGCTGTGGGTGACCTGACTGGTGTGAGATGGATTTGCTTGATGGGGCTCTTGTTGTGTGGAGCAGAACGGCATATGACCACTGCTCACCGCCACAGGACAAACACTCCATCTCCACATCCATCGCACTATCTGAGATATAGAGGGAGGAAGCAAATGCTGTTCAGTTCAATACATAATGGCCCCAAAATGTCTGGACACTACATTTATTTGGAAGAATATATAAAACCACGCTACAGCTTTTCTCAGGACTAACTTTTTCTGAGCCTTTTGTCTTTTAAGCACCTGATGGGGATTTTTAGTATTTAGTATATGTATCAAGTCATTTTTCCTCAAGTAAAATGTATATATTGTAATTAGTAATTAATAACTGGCTTCTAATAGCCACTTGCCACTGGCTCTGCACCCCTTTACCTAAACTCACTACTTCAGACTGCCCTCCAGAAGCTTGAGTTCTGCAAGTGAATGGCACTTTGTAGAACCATCCAGAATATTGCTATTCTATCTAATTGTTTTCTTTGAAAAAAACAAAAAAACAACTTGACTCTCTAACACTAGCGTTCTCTATTCTTAGAGTGCTTTCACATATAGTTCGTTTTAAAAGAACCAAACCCAGTTCACTTAAAGTGAACCAGAAAGGGAACCAGTTGAAAGTGACCTCTGTCCTTTTGGTATTCACAATATATGTGGACTCAAAAGAGAACCCAGTTTTTTTTTTTTTTTTTTGGTGTTCTTCAGCACTGAAGTGATCTCAGATCCTTTCTTGTTCACACCACAATTTCATAAGAACTCAGGCCCCAGCTTTCTGTGCAGCAGTGAAATGCTGGAGTCTGATGTACTGGAAAACATGGAAGATGAAGTGGACAGGAAGGGGGTTATGAAGAGCTGGCAATCCCTGATCATGTCACCGGTCAAGACATTTGCAGAGCTTTAACAACCCATTTCAAAATTAAAAGAGAATATTATGTATAAAGTTATTTCAACTTTCTTTTTTTCTAAGACAAGTTAAGATAAGTTACAGTTGTAAAATGTTTCTGTGTTCCTGACTTTTTTTTTTTTTTATTCACAATAAGCTGTATTTCATTGTTCAGTGTTATATTATAATTATTATTTTTTTTCTTTCTAAAGAATCATATACTATTATACTATGGTTTGTCTGAATACTCGATTCTGATTGGCTGGCATGTGTACATTAAAACCATTTAATGCACAGGTCTGAGTCAGTTTATTCACCGTTCTATATAAATGCGCTGCTTCTATTGACACACAAACAAACACACACACACACTTGAATATGTGGTTTACAGGGACTCTCCTTAGGTGCAATGGTTTTTCTGTTGTAAAAATTTTATTTTCTATCCCCTTACCCTAACCCAGGGGTGTCCAAACTAGGTCCTGGAAGGCCACTGTCCTGCAGAGTTTAGCTCCAACTTGCCTCAGCACACCTGCCTGGAAGTTTTTGTTGGTTGCTTCTATTTTCCTCGCTTTGGATAAAAGCGGCTGCTAAATGATTACATGAATGTAATAAAATGCTAAAAGTGTTCACCCAGTAGCTAGTAAATTCGGAAGATAGAAGTAGTTTTTGAACTCGGTAGTTGAAACCAACTTAAAGAAACATTGCTACAAAAAAAAAAAAAAAAACAGCATTTGTGTAATTTGACTTTTAAACCATTTAATTATTGAGACTTCTAATCGTGACAAGCCCCAGTCTCCATTACGTGTGTATGTTGAACTGATATTGTATGATGCTGTAACTATTTGCTGAGGGGCTATAAACTATTTTTAATAACCTTTTAGCTTTTGTGTTATGTAGTCACTCAAAAAATGAACGTGTAATTATTAGATAACAATTAGAGAATAGTTTTGTATTCAGTATGAAGAGTTTGCATTTCCGTGCATCGAGGCAGTTGTTTCTTGCAAAATTATCCTTAGTTTTAACAAACGTTGTTTTAGGAGATTCAGATTTTCTAGCAGTCACATATCCTATTATAATATTAAGTAAGCTATTATTTATTCATTTGTTTTCATTACGCGATTCATCACAATTGAATGTTAGGCTACTCTGGTTCCCACCAGCAAATCAAAGAAACCGCTTCCTACAAAGTAACCAATCGCGATATATTTAACGGTAGCTATATTGCAGTTGTTGAACATTCAGTCTAGTGTCTAATTCTATGATAATGTATGAAATATTTTATAGTTTCGTCCTCACCTGTTTTCTGCATACATGTGAACCCATATCTGTGTCGCGTCAAAATACACCGGCGCTGAAACAACAGTCAGACTTCAAAAGTTCCGGATGTTTGAACAGAAGACGAAACAAAAGTGATTATAAACTGCAAATATTTTATTGAAGAATTCTATTGACATTAACATTTGATAGAGGCTTTACAAAGCCTGTGTACAATTTGAAATAATATCAGAGTAACCAACAGCCAAAGCAAACTGAAATTATGCCAATAACAATTTATTCATAGGATAAATAAAAAATGTATTAAAATATTCATAATTTAAAATGATAAAAATCTACCTAAAATTCTTGTAAAGTTCTGAAGGCCTAATAACAAATATGGTAAAGCTCAGGTGACCCTAATCAAGGTCTAGTGCATGTGTCATATATGTTTTAACAGGACAATTATTGTGCTCAACATCATAGTATTACAACAAACAGCAAGAACTTTCTACATCTCAGAATACAATGTTTTAAAAACTCCATGAAAGGTGAAAAACAACATGTTCATAAATACACTCCTATTCCTTCACCAAACACAGAGATAAAGCTGTTCCTTAGCAACACAGATGGCTTCCATTCCCAGTCACACTTTTCTTTTGCTCTTTGGACGGACTGGTATCATCAAGGAGGACAGCGGCAGCTAGACGGAGAGTTCTGCAGAGATTGTGCATTAGTGTTCATGGTGACATTAGATGTAATGTCATAATTAGTTGAGCAGAACGCATTAGTGTTTCTTTCACAACAGCTCCTCACTCATCGGTAAGATATTTCAGCAGCTCGGACTGCAGCGCCACCATTGTTCTCCTCTGTTCCTCATCTTCCTCATCATCATCTTCATCTTCTAAAGGGGTGTCCTCTGAAGTGCTCAGATTGTTTTCGGGGTCCAGGTAGAGGATATCTGCCCGGTGCAAAGCTAAATATTATAATCTTTTTGGAGGATGAAAGAATAAATGGTCACAATATGAAATAACCTAAAACCAATAGTCTTACCATTGCTAGAGGGAAAGACCTCTGCCCACGAGTACTCTGCTAGATTTATGGGTTGCTGAATCCACTGCGACTCCAAGAGCTCCTCTAGAGTCATTCTTTGATCAACCACCGAGTGCAAAAGACCAGCCAACAGTGCATACAACTCTAAAACAACAACACAGCAACAGGTTGAACAGTAATAAATGGTGTTTTTGCAGGTTTTCTTTTAAAAAGTAATGTCCAAAAAGACATCTTATTTTTTGAGAAATTATTCAAAAAGAACTGTTATGATTAAAATGAGAACAAATTTCTGCCAATGGGCTCAGAAAAATCAACTTAATGTAAAGTGAAACAAGTCTTCAAGCCTCATTGACAGATATTTCTTCTTATTTTAAGCATAAACTCAAATTTGCTCGATTTCTCAGAAAACAAGACTTCATATCTTCATTTTGCATCTCAAGTAGTTCCGTTCATCTTCGGAACACAAATTAAAGGGTTCTTATGATGTTGCTAAAAAGAACATTATTTTGTGTATTTGGTGTAATGAAATGCGTTTATGCGGTTTAAGGTTAAAAAAAAAACATTATTTTCCACATACTGTACATTATTGTTTCTCCTCTATGCCCCGCCTTTCTGAAACGCGTCGATTTTTACAAAGCTCATCGGTCGGAAAAGCGAAGTGTGCTCTGATTGGCCGGCTAAACATGTCTCTAGAACAGACATAAGGCAAAATAATCACTAAGTAAAGGTGTAACAAAATTTCTCTAGAATAGACATATGGCAGAAAAAAAAAAAAAATCCCGTGTCCATTATGCCTGCGGCAACCACATGTGACGACCATGCTGGACTCCGCTTCTCCCACGGTGAAAGCCAATCCGGCGATCCACAGCGCGAAGTTGATGTATTTCCTCGGCGACCAGCACGGATCAGCTCTAGGTATGACGAAGCAGATATCGTCCTCTTTTGGAAGACCAAACAAAGTGGTTTCGATTTCACAACGAAACACACAGCGTCTCCACGGCATGGCGGCAGCAACAACAATACAACAGCGAGAATAAAAGTTACGCCTTCTTTCTTTGCGTGAACATTTGGGCGGCGTTATGCAAATCTTCCCACATCGTGACGTAGATATGTGAAATAACTTTTATAAAGAATATCTCTTTGGATTTGAGACTTTAGTCTTTGCAACTTTACAGATCTTCTTTATGCACCAAGAGCTTGTAACACTTCAAAGAAAAAGGAAAAATTTAAATCGCATCATATGACCCCTATTAAGATATTTTTGATGAATTCTGAGAGACATGAGCGTGAGTAATTAATGACAGAATTTTCATTTTTGGGTGAACTATCCCTTTAAGGATATGTAGATATTTGTACTGGTAAATAAGCCAAAAACACTGAGGAAAATATAAAATTTCTGCAGTGCAAACAACATTTCAGGGCATGTCTGTGAATTTAATACTTTCTGCTCCAATTTAAGATCTTTTTAACGCCTTCATTTGTGGAATAAAGTCAAATTAGTCAAATCAGTCATGTGTTTCCAGTCAGTCTTCATAGCTGTGATGAAGCAGAGCTGCAAACCTGTAGATATCTGGCATGGAGGGTTGAGTCGGGCCTGCAGGGTTTCCTCCACACTGCAAAACGGGTTTTCACTGAAGAGTAAGGTGTATAAGAGCACTCCTAGAGACCACATCTCCAGCTCTGGACCCTCGTATCTACATACATCAAAATATAAAATACAAAAAAGCAAATACATTAAAAAAAATCTCATATTTTACCTGTATATGTAAGCATAATGGTTTCAACATTATTCTTGCATTCATTATTCAGCATTCGGTCATTCACCTCCACAGGCTTAAAGTGAACATAAAAATTGCATTTCACAACTTTTTTTTTTACTTGTGATGTTGCATGTTTCCAAGTTAAAAAGGGTATTTAAACCTATTTCAATATCCAAACAGGATTAATGAAACCTGAGTGAATAATAAATGTTAACTTGTCACTACATTAAAATAAAGAAAGACCTGATCTGATAAAGAAATGCATTCTGATATATCATTACGTATATTATGCTGATAAGAGAGCGCTGAAGGTTCCTGATCATGCTTACCGAAAGTTTATTTTCGTCATCTGCTGCACTGACAACCTTGAGAAAAAAAGAGAGAAGCAAAATTCTATGAATTCTATGAAAAGTCAAATCAAAACCAATTTTTTTTACATAAAAAAAAAAAAAAAAAAAAAAAAGTTTGGTTTTCCCCCCGCTGTACCGAAATCATACCGAACCGTGACGTTAAAACCGAGGTACGTACCGAACTGTCATATTTGTGTACCGTTACACCCCTAATAAATATATATGTATGTGTATATGTATATATCTTTATGTTACCCTTCTCAGACCCTTAAAGGGAGTTTTCTTGAACTATCCCTTTAACCACCTGATCTTATCCTGTATTCTGTCCTTATCAAGCTTAGACACACAGATGGAACAGAGATGTCTGTGTGATGTTTCAGTACATACGGGTTTCCCTGAAGCACCTCTGGTGAGCAGTACTCCAGAGTGCCACAGAAGGTATAGAAGAGCTTTCCGGGTTCCAGCAGGGCAGCAGAGCCAAAGTCGATCAGCCGGATATGGAATTTAGAGTTTATGATGATATTTTCATCCTTTATGTCCCTGTGGAGCACTCTTTTGCCACACAGGTAACTCACTGCAGCTACCAACTAGGTACAGACACATTCAGATACACATCAGGAAAAAGTGATCCAATTACAACTTCTCTGTGCAACAGTTCTCACAACCTGTTTCTCACCTGTCTGAAGATGTAGCTCGCTAGAGGCTCATCCAGTCTTGGCTGCATGTCGATAAACTCAAACAGGTCTAGCCCGTCCCCATGCTTCTCCATGACCATTTGGAAGAATCCCTCATTCTCAAACACCTCCAGCACCTGCAGCAAAAAGTAATACACTCATAAACACAAATAGTGAGCATACTATAACTAGCATTTTGGCAATGTTCAATATAAAACTTGACATTAATCCAGAAAATTTATAATATGAATATTATATCTATAAATGTATTGTTCAAATATTGAACAAAAAAAGATTGGGGATGTACAGTGAAAGAAATAAATTTTAACTTGGCATTTTTCAAATATCGGCATCGGACGATAAGTTTTTCTGTTTGGCCGATGCGTTCGAGGTGTTATTTTGACGGCGCAGCGGACTTTTATTTTGACAGCGCTGAGAGCGGCAGCGCCTGAGCACACAGTGCTCACATTGATTCTCCCTCTTGTTCGTGGTCGTCGTTAAAGGGGTCATATGATCCGATTTCAATTTTTCCTTTCTCTTTGGAGTGTTACAAGCTCTTGGTGCATAAAGAAGATCTGCAAAGTTGCAAAGACTAATGTCTCAAATCCAAAGAGATATTCTTTATAAAAGTTAAGAGTCAACCACGCCTACCTAAAACGGCTCGTTCTAACACGCCCCCACATACCTAC